AGCTGTCGTCCTGAAAGGAGTCCAGTTTATGAATATTAATCGGCTGGTATTAGCATATTGTTCAGGGTATTTGTGACATGAACGCCAGCCTGGGAGGAACAGCTGAATCAGAGGACACCCAGAGAAGAGTGGGCAGATGGGCCCTGAGGAGACAGCAGGGAGGCATTCATTAGGCTCCTGAGCTGAACGGGGCAGAAAGGCCTGACTGAGAGGTGGAGAACAGGCAGGCTTTTAAAACGAGATCGAGCTGAAGACGCCAAATCAGAGTTTTCCCAAAACAATCTGTTTATGAGATTAAATGTAATGCTTTTGTGAGTGCTTTAATGGGTTGTTTGACAGGTGAGGTATCCACACACCTCAAACAGAACAGCTCTCTCAGCTGAAATGAAGCTCGATACGACCTTCAGGGACACGGCAGCAAAGTGCAGCCTCACAGAAAACACACAACTCGCCCTCTGTGACCTTCAGAGGGATAAAACTGCTAAATCTGCTGCTGTGTTCCTGCTTCTGTCACACAGAACCGAGTCAGATCCTGTCTGTGAGTCCACTTTCACAAATCACTAGAAACAGAATGAAAATATGTGAAACTGGAGACGATATAATGACAGATAAATGCATTTTCAGAGGTCAAACACTAACTTTACAATGATCTGAATCAGTTAATGTGTCAGAAGATTCTCTTTCAACACTGCAGATCTTCACACATCAGACACCCTCAGATGATCAGGTAACAATATATCATGTGTTATTTATCTGAGGCTGTTTTTTCACGAGTTCAGGACCTGATAAAACAAACTTTACTTGTTTTCCACTGAAACGTCTCAGCATGTTGCCTCGAATTGAAAAAAGCTGGTTCCTTCATTTTGATTGCATTTATGGTTTGTGTAACTTTAAAAATGTCCATCTTCAGCTGGAGCTGTGTGTGATTTTTGTGTTTGAGACAAATAGACAACGAGTTATAGATAGATAGATGGAGGAAAGCAGCAGCGTATGAATGATTTATCTGTGGGTAAGTGGCAGAAAGAGCTGCAGTCAAACTGCTGCACGAGAATATTTCACCGGATCGTCTGGAGCAGCTGAACGCACCACAGAGAGCAACACTGCAACCCGGATCTTTATCTGCGTTCAAGGTCTTATTACTAAAACACTTCCTGTGATGATGTCGCTGGAGTTGCATTATTCTATTTTTCTCTTTTTACCAAAAGGAATCTGATGAGCTACCAGGTTAAGGACCAGCATCAATGAGATGTTCAACACATTTAGGACACTTCTTCATTTATTTAATCCACAATTTTATAAAAGGTTTAAGCTTTAATTGAAGTGTTAAACATAAAATAGTTTCACTTAAATAATAAGGTTGCAAATGTGCTATATGACTGACTGATATAAATAAATATGAATTATATTTTGACTTATAAATGATTTTATTTCATTTCTAATATACAGTTTTGATGATGAATAGTTAGAAAGTAGAAATCTAAGAGTGAAAAAAAATTGCTGAGAAGAAACTAAAAATTTACATGTATGTTTTTAAAAAATGACGGACTTTTGTTTTTCCTGTGTGTTGCTGCCTCCTGCTGCACATTCATGCATCTTCAGCAGATTCTGGTAGCACCATTACAGGCACAAACCCACATATAAAAGAATAAAATACACATTTATTTACAATTGCATTAAAATAGAATAGAATTTACAGCACACAATGTGATATTGTACTCCTCACTTGGAATGCGTTTAGACATTTATATTGTGTTAAAAGTTGGAAAAATACATTAGAAATTAGACCTAATAATCGGATTTCATTACATAATAATCTTTTTATACACTAGTGCTTTGATTTTCTTGCTGAAAACAGCTTACTGTACCTTTCCTTTCTTTAGTTTTTAGAAAATAATATAATTTCTAAGTTTTTTATCAAGGTCTGTTTCTATGCCTTGGTTTTTCCAGTGTTTCAGTGTGTGTTCTCTGCGCTGCTGCCTCATCCACACTCACCTGTTTCCGCTTGTGTCTTCTCCAGGTGTTTCTTGTTGTCTCATTAAGTTCACCTTTATATTCAGTGTCTTGTCATTCTTGAGTTGTCAGATCATTGTGCGGTGAGTTCCAGCCTGAAGGAGTTTTTGCCACATCACAACTTGAGTTTTTCAGTTGCCTTGTCAGTTTTTTGCTTTAATAAAGACTTTGTTTTTATAAAGCCGAACCCTGCCCGTGCCCTGGGTCGATCCACTTCCTTAACCTGACAGTTTTAAATTAATTATAGATTTTAATTTAACAGGATTTATTTGGGATGAACAAACTTCTGCTTCAACCGTCTCCTGATTCAGTTTTGTATTTTTTGTGTCTTGACTTAATTAGAATGAACTTAAATAAACTCAATGATTTGTTCATATAATTGCTGCCTAATAACATGTAAAGAAAAATAGTCAGACTCTTTGCAGAATATTACTGTATTTCCTCAAAATTAAAGTTAAATGCTCATACTTGCATGTTCTGTTTTAATTAAGCAGGACACATTTTTCTTTTTCAATGTTTGTGCTTTTTTACTGCAATACAAAGTTTAAAGTTAGGAAGAGACATCTGATTATTTCAGATTTTATATAAAAATTCAAATCTGAGAAACAAAAGGTAATTTACAGATACAAATTTAGATATTTTATTGGTTTTTAAAAATCCTTTAGTCTTACTGATGATCTGTAAAAGCAATAATGATTATATTTTGCAAAGTACAAAAATGTAAATGTTTGCTTTTTATTAAGAAGTGTAGCTGGTTATGTTGTCCAAACCATGGTTTTAATTGCTGATGTCCAGTCTTTGCAACTCAGGCACAAGGTTTGGTGTCAGGTAAGGGTTCACAGCGATCTACTTCAGTAAAAATATCTGCAGACTGGACACCATTATATACTGCAGAGATGGTTGTCGAGCTGGTTTGTCCATTTATGTAGGTGCAGGTGAGGTGGGCAGTAAAAGGGATCTGTGTTTTGCACTTAAAACCAGCCATACTGATAACGCAGCTGTGCTTTGGTGGGACATTGTGACTGAGCCACAGTGTATGTAGTCTCTTCTGTCACAGATTTGCCCTTTGAGTACTCAAACGTTGTCTCTGAAGAAAATTCAACTGTACCACTTACAATGAAAGGAATTCCTGTTGTAAAGGATACCTTTGCACCAATCATTTGGGAAAATCTGAAGTCCCAGGTACTTGTTTTAGTGGCTGTTGTGGTAAGAGTAGCAGTTTCTGTCACTGGTTGGCAGTCAGCGTTTCTAATGATTGAAGTTCTCAAGATCTGTGGAGGACTTTTGATAATTGTAGCCCGATCAGTGTTGTACATGACATCAGAAAGAGCTTCATTTATAACATCCATGTTGATGGTCAGGACCTCATAACTTCTCTGGTACCAATATTCTTTACCCTCCCAGGGAAGATAAAAGGATTTGTCTTTAGGACACACTGTACCAAGACCATACGGGTTCGATTCCCGTCCAGTCGACTTAGTCATTGTGTCCTTGGGCAAGACACCTTACCCGCCTTGCCTACTGATGGTGGTCAGAGGGTCCGGTGGTGCCTGTGAATGACAGCCTCACCTCTGTCAGTGTGCCCCAGGGTAGCTGTGGCTACAATTGTAGTTTGCCATCATCAGTGTGTGAATGTGTGTGTGCATGGGTGAATGTCTGCAGTGTAAAGCGCTTTGAGTGTCCTTGATGGATAGAAAAGCGCAATAAAATTAGTCAATTTACCATTTAACATTTACTTGTTCTTGCCTACATACATTGGGTCAATGGAACTACGAACTGCATGTTCTGGTACAGAACCATAGGAACCCTGCTTCCATTCCAGTTTCTCAAAATCACCTTCATTCACAAGAATCTCAGATGAGGAAGAAGTACGCTCCTTACCAGCATAAGGGTAGTGACAGTAAGGACCCTTGCCGGGGGTGTAAAAACCAGAGTGACACCCATATTTACAGACATAGTCGATGTGTTCAGTGTAATCATTGTAAATTGAAACAGCTTCATTTGGCAGAAGACCATTCCACTCCTCCCATCTCAGTTTGCTGTTTGGGTCGAACTCAGAGGCGTTCAGTTCAGATTCACTAGGAGGCAGAATAAAATGGACGGCTGATATTGTTATGTTAGTTATGATATCACAAACTCCGTCCTTCAGATCTAGAGTCAGTGGCAGGACTGTGAGGGGGGAAAAAAGAAGATAACATATTTTCTTAATGTGAAATGCAAAAATTTACAAACAAATATTTAACTTCTGGAGCCAAATATTTATTTCCTTTTATGTAGAACCATTTCAGTGACACTTACAGGAATGAACCTAAATAAACTCAATGATTTGTTCATTGTTGTTCAATCTTTGTTCATTTGCAGCCTATTAACATGAAAAGGAAATTAGTCTGGTTCTTTGTAAAATTCCCATAATCCAAAAAGCAGTTAAATGCTCAACAAACTATCATTTACAGGAGGATGAGTGCATGTTTTGTCTTAATAAAGCAGGACAAGTTTTTCTTTTTCAATGCTTGTGCTTTATTGTTGAACATAAAGCTTAAAGTTAGAAAGAGACAGGAACTTGAAGGGTCCATTGAGGAATACACAACGGTAATTATTCAATATATGTGAGAAAAAAGTCACACTCAGATATAAATTTATGAATATATATTGTAATTTTAAAAAATGACATATATTTTATTAATGATTAGTGAAAACTAAGAAAATGATTACATTTGCAACGTGTAAAAATGAAACAATGAAAATATTTGCTTTTTATTGAGAAGCTTAGATGGTTATGCTGTTCATACTTTGATTCAATTTCTCAAAAGGAAATAAGGAAAAAGATGTGCATAACTCCAATACAAAAAAGGAGAAAAAGCAAATTGGAGCCCGGTTCGATGACATCGGTTCACGCATCCTGTTTTCTGCCCTTAATAAAAACATGTTAGTGTTTTTTGGAGTGCTGTTATCCCATTTTTGTCAATATCTCAAAAGGCCATAAATCTCATTCAGGCACAAGGTTTGGTGTTAGGTAATGGTTCACAGGGCTCTTCTTCAAGAACAAGCTCTCCAAGCTGGACCCCACTAAATGTTCCAGTGATGGTTGTCCAGCTGGTCTTCTTGCTTCGGTAGGTGCGGGTGAGGCGGGCGGTAAAAGGGACTTTTGCGTTGTACGTAAGACCAACTAGTTTAACAATACATGTGCTCTTTGGTGGGACAACGTGAGTGAAAGACACAGTGTGTGTGTCCTCTACTGTTACAGAACTACTTTGTGAGTACTGAAGTGTTACAGATGAGGACACTTCAACAGTACCTTCTCCAAAAACAGGAATTCCTGTTTTAAATGTTCCCTTTGCTCCAAGCATTAGGGAAAAGTTGAAATTCCACGTTTTTGTGTCACCATTTTTTGTTGCAAAAGTAGTTGTTTGTGTCCCTGGTTGGCAGTCAGCATTTTTGAAGGTTAATGTTTTCATGACATTTGGAGGATTCTTGATCTTTTCAATGTGATCAGTGTTATACTCGACATCAGAGATATCTTCACTTATAACATCCATGCTGGTGGTCAGAACCTCATAATGCTTGTACCAATATTCTTTACCCTCATAGGGAAGAAAAAAGCATTTGTTTTGTGGAGACACTTTCCCCAGACCATACTTGTTCTTGCCTACATACACACTGTTATCGAAGCAACTACTGACTGCATTTTCTGGCACAGAACCATAAGAACCCCCCTTCCACTCCAGCATCTCAAAATTATCTTCATTCACAAGGATCTCAAATGAGCTAGCAAGTAACTCTTTGTCAGCAGCAGAGTAGTGGCAGTTAGGACCCTTCTCGGGGCTGTAAAAACCAGAATGGCAGCCGTATTTACAGACATAGTCGGTGCGCTTGGTGTAATCATTGTAAATCGAAACAACTCCATTTGGCAGCTCATTATTCCATGTCTTCCAAGTCAGTTTGCTGTTTGGGTCGAACACAGAGGCGTACGAGCTAACCTGCCTTTCATGTCCTGATTCAGCATGAGGCAAAACAAGACGGACTGTTGAGATTGTTACTTTAGATATTCTATCAGCAACTCCATCCTTCACGTCTGGGGTCAGAGGAGGGACTGTGTGGGGAAAAAAGAATGCAAATAAGTGCTTTAGGTATAAGTTAAAGTATTCATATTCATTTAAATTATACAGTTTTGCTGTGTTTTAAGTATAAATAAACAAATCTTTGATTCTATCAGCATTTGTCACAGTTAATACTCAAAACCTTTAACCTTTTTCAGCTCTCAGAAGCACTGATACATGTTCCAACCTGAAGTTTGAAATATGTATATATTTTTTCCAGGAAGAAATAAAAACTGAAACTGCGTAAAGCTTGGAAGATGTTTTAAAGTGTAATATATACAGCTCACAGAGTTGAGTTAAAAATTGCTTTTGTTGTCATCTTGAATCTAAAAACAAGTCAATTCACCTGACCTACTGATTCATCTTAATTTAGCAGTGAGCTTCTCAATAATGGAATATGCCCGTTTTGGGGTGGGGGACAATGATGTGTTTGGGGGCCAACAATTTCTTGAAAAAAATTTTTTTATATGTACATTGGCCTTGAAGGAGCACCACAGAAAGGATACCTCGCATATCCTGAAGTTAAAGAACATTTCAAAAAGATCTCATTGGCACTCCTTCCAAGAAGGAGCACCACTTAATTGTAAAAAACAAACAAAAAAAAACATTGTCTGTTTTAAATTTCAATTAAAATAAAAATAAACAAATTTAAAAAGTAAAAGAATTTATTTTACAAAATGCTGTGTTACAGTTGATGGTGCCAGAAAGCCATGCAGTGGTTTGTACAGATAAATTAATAAATACTATCATGTTCTTAGTACCATTTCAATTTAGGGTGGGGCATGAAAAAAAAGGTTCCCTTTTTACCATGTTCTTCTGCTGAGTGGCTCTTCACAGCTTCATGCAGACTGGCTGAGAACAGAACCAGCAGCAACAACCGTAGCTGCTGGAAGTAGCACAAGATAAAAATTGTTTTTAGTTTTAAACTGCCTAAAATAATGCTTGAAGGAAAAAACAGAAAAGAATACAGAAAACAAGTGCTAGATACACATTTTTAATGTTGACAGTAAGCCAATGAAAGAAGCTAAAACTGTAAAAATATAATCTTTAACTCTCATCAGAACTTGAAAAGAAGTAACTTAATTTAGCTGAAGACTTTTTAAAGGGAGCGGGGTGGTATTATGGAAAATCAACCTTTTTTGAGCTTTAAATCACATTATAATTTTGATCAAAGTGTTGCTTTGACTCATTCATGTCTGAGAAATCCTCGACTCCCCTGTGGTAGCCATGTGGAGCTGCCTAAAAACTTGCTGGTACAAAGCTCCGCCTAATTATATGAAGCTCCTCCCTCGAGCTCAATATGCAGCCAAGCTACCACACCACAGAACACACCTTCCCCAAAGCATTCTTGTGAAATCAGGCTGAAGTGGGAGTGTCAAAAATGGTAGGAAGGTCAGTTTCAAGGCATTTAGATCGGCTATGATGCAAAGTCAATTATTTATTTATATTTTTATTTATAAAACCTTTTCATAACAACTGAAGGTAACATAGTAACTACATAGCATATATTCTATGGTATAGAATATGTGCCTGGAAAATACATAACACTGCCCCTTTAGAGTTTTTAAGGGTGCATTCACACGAGACCTGTTTTGTCAGTAGGCTTGCTCCTTCTCTGTGAACTTCGGTCAGCAGACTGAGGCTTTTAAATCTTTGCTGAAGACCCATTTATTTTCTCTGGCTTTTGATTAAGACAGAGTTGGAGGTTCAGTTAGAGCTTTTTTTACATTGTATTATGTTTCTGTATTGCATTTGTATCTATTATTATGACCCCCGCACGCAAAGTGTAAGCGGGGGTCAGAAGCAGAAGGAGGTTCTTAAAGAGACAGAGGCCAATTTCAAGACGTTTAGAAGAGGAAGTGATGAGAAGAAAAGTGTATTATTTTCTATTTAAACATAAAAACAGCATTTTAATAATGACTAAAGGTGACATAGATACTTTATTATGGTATAGTATTTAAATATATGCCTGAGAAACACATGATATTGGCCCTTTAAATTAGAACTGGAGGCCAGATTAATGCCATCCAGAGGAGGTGAAAGGCTGCAATTTGATCCTAAGATGTTCAGGTCCAAAAACCACAAATTATGTCTGAGTTTGTCTTAAATATTACTTCTGGTAAATCTCTGCTGCCTCATCAGCTTGTTTCTTTGATAATAGACAGTTATCTGGATCACCTCTTTATTTATTTATTTATTTATTTATTTATTTTACCATTTTTTTTTAAGTCCGGTGATGTTCTCCTGTCCTGAAGACTGGAGACCAACTGCAACTGTAATGGAAACAGTATTTAAAAACAAAGCAAACATTTTTCTCTTCAAAGCATGATTTTATCAGACAGTAAATAAAAAATAATAATAATCTATAGTTAAAATTAAAACTTAACACTAAATAGGTTGTGATTGAATCACAAATAAAATTATGATCTTTGCTTTATTTTAATATAATGTGGAGATTTGGCGTTGACTGATCATCTTTATTTATGAATTGGCAGAAATATAAAATCTGCCTGATAAGATTTAACCCTTAAATATCAAATTTTGTAAAGAATGTCAGTTTTATTTCCAGTTGAAGAATCAGTTTGTTTACTCCAGAAATGAAGAAGAAATTAAATACATACCTGAGTTAGAGTAGTGGAGAAATTTTTTTATCAGATAAAAAAAAGATGAGTTGAAAATGGAAATCTCTTGTTTCAATATGATGAAAAAAATCTTGGCTAAGATTTGTTTCAGGGAGGAGAAATGTCCCTGAATGAGTTTCTCCACATCATCTGTGTACTTTAATACTCAGGGAGCAGAGGGAGGACCTTTGTGATAAGCCAATCTGCTGCTAATGTCAGAAACACTGAGGGAACAGGTTTTAGAGTTGTTTTTAACATTTTATTTTACACTTGGCACCCCATAGTTTAGTTTATTAATGAAATAAATGTGAAAAATCTGACCTGAGTCCTGATTTAAACTAGACCTGCTGTCACTGTAAATAAAACAAGGTCATGTTTGGATTCCCGTCAAAAGATCCCTGCAGATGGTTTGAGACATGAGAAATACCAACAAGTAACACTTTATTTAAAAGCACTTTTAAAAAGAACAAAGCTGAACAAAGAGCTCTAAAATAAAACAAACAAGTAGAAAAATAAAAAATAGGAAATTACAGAAATAAAAATAAAAAGCAGTTTAGATAAATAAACTAAACTTCATCAGTTTGTTGGATCCATAAGAAACATGATGGGAGTCAAATCATGAGTGTGTCACACCTAAAACAGTCCAGATGGAAACAAAATGGTAAATGGATTTAACTTGTTTAAGACTTTATCAAGTGCCTACAGACTCCAAACTGCTTCAATCCTTCAGAAACCGATGGTGGTAAGCTACAGTGTAGCCACAGCTGCTCTGGAGCAGATCGGCAGACACAAGGCTGCCGTAGTGCCACTGGGCCCTCTGACCACCACCAGCAGATAAGGCAGATCCGTGTTTTGTCCAATTATATGATGACCCAAGTTGGACAGAATGAGCAATCGAACCAGCAACCCACTGGTCACAGAACAACTCCTCTATGGAGTCCCTGTTGATGCCACTTGGCTCCCCATCTCTGACTTCCTGATTCACCTGTTAAGAATCAGCTCACCTGGATAAAGTGCTTTAAGTGAAACCTTTTCTGATTTACAATAAGTGAGTGAGAGCAGGTGTGTTTCAAAACAGTTTCACATTTGTTTCATTAATAAACATCGTTGATTTTCTGATGCTCCTGTTGTTGATAAAAACCCAGGACAGACAGGACCAGAAACCGGACCCAGTCATCTTGAAGACACAGTCAGAAACATGAAGATTTACCTTCAGTGGCAAGACTTAATAAAAAACTGGTGTTCTCAACATTAAGATGTGTTTAAAACATCACCATACATCAGAAAAAAATTATTTATATTTGGATTCCTGCCAACAGATCTCTGCAGAGTGAGTCTCACGTGAAGGAAACAAAAAAATAAAACAATGGACCACTTTAAATAAAAGCACTTTGAGGAATCCAGGTGACAGTTGAGAAAATGTGTTCTGAGTGGGTGAATCAGGAAGTCACAGATGTTTAATGAGAGAAATGTGAAAAATGTTTCTGAACACCGCACCTGCTGTCATTCACCTGCTGATTCACCTGGCAAACAACATTAAACAAAGGAGGAAGTATCGGATTTCAGGTTTCTATGACAGAGTTTCACGTTTGGTTGCACTTTCACATTTGAGACCAGAACTTGTTGTATGTGGACCAGGTTATCAAAGACCCTCATGACCCTCAGAAGTGATTGGAGGGAGTGATGCAGATCACTACAGTTTGAAAACGTGCTGCTACATTCATGTTTCCTCTGTGAGCCATACTTCTTCTGTAAACACACACTTCAGGAGACCAGTTGTTACAGGCTCTGGAGGGCCTGAGCAGGCCAGTTGGAGGTTTTAGAGGACCTGAGGAGACCAGTTGTTGGAGGTGCTGAAGGACACAGAGACCATCTTTAGGTCTTTAGAAAGCATTCAGACCGCTTTAAATCCATTAACCTTTGTTGTTCACAAATGAAGAAATTTGCATTTGGCTTCACATAGTGATAAAAAGACAACGTTCACAAAATCAAAGACTTACAAACCAATAACAAGCACAACTTCAGGTCTACATAATGGCCAACAATTAAATAACATTATTGCATTTGGGATAAATGAGTTTTTATAAAATGTTTCTGGTTGTATCACCAGAGGGAAACTTAACACATTCTCCAAACAGGGTGATTTAACACACCCACAATTTGTTGGGCCTTTTGTTTGTCTGCCTTTTACATAATCCCAGCATCTTTTGCTCCATGCCAATGATCTTTTTTGGCCATATTGATAGCTCTGGACAATCT